CTGGGGACGGGGCCCAGGCGGCGGCGGAGCTCCCGTGTTTCATCAACCCCTAAATAACGTAATTACCGGTAATCAGACGCCCGTCTGGCAGGTGGAAACGGGCTCCCCAGCGGATTAGAATCCTGCCGCCCATCTTTTAAAAATCAATTAGGCTCCCCCCCCCGCTTTTTGAATCAGCAGGTAAATATAATAAAGATTTAAAAGAAAATAAAAATAAAAAAATAAAATAAAATAGCGACGGCTGAAAAGCTAGACGTAAATAACTGGAGGGATTTAAAACCTTTTGGGAAATGCCGGGATAACAGAGGGCAGCAGCGGCGGTATCAAGCTTTACGCGCTCGAGTCCGTCAGAGTTAAAATAATTATCTTTCGACAAATCTATTTCTCTTCGGAGGAAAAGGGGGGGACACGGGGAGGGAGACCATACGATCTGTGCTGCAGGACACTTCATTCCCCTTCTGGGGAGCCCTTTTTACTTGTTGAAGCAGGACCGAATTAGTCTTAATATCACAGGAGAGTAAAAATCAATAGGATCGTGGCAGTGGGTGTCTGTTATTCACTTATGACGGCCTAATCTATGTTGAAAGGGATATCGGAGAGCAGGATTTCCGGGAGCCAGCCCGAGTTTCTTGAGGACTTTAGGAAAGCGGCGAGATACCTCGGGTGTGGAGACGGAAAAGGCCATTGGAGGGACGGCTGCACCCGAGTGTCCTCGGCAAGGGTCACAGATGCCGGGCTGGCTGAAGTTCAGGAGCCATCAGAGGTGGCAGGGGCCTCTCTGCCTGTGTCACAAGGAGGGGGTGGTCGGGGGGTGAAATCTGGGGGATTTTGGTCACAAACTGCACTTCTATCTGCAGGCGATTGCGTACTGCTGGGAAATAAATGCCAATGGATTTTCTGCCTCTTCGTCTTTTCTCTCTTACTTTTTGTCTCTGATACAAAAGTTTTAACAGTCCTTAGGTTAGACCTTATAAACACGAATATGAACACTTTTCCTTCCTTCCTTCCTTCCTTCCTTCCTTCCTTCCTTCCTTCCCTCTTTCTCTCTTTCTCTCTTTCTCTCTTTCTCTCTTTCTCTCTTTCTCTCTTTCTCTCTTTCTCTCTTTCTCTCTTTCTCTCTTTCTCTCTTTCCTCTCTCTCGACATTTATTAAAAAGGCTTCACGAGCATTTCATGGTTTTCAAATTCATCCGACGGAAAGCAGAACATGCCGGTTTTGCACAGTTTCCTACCATGAAAAATAGGAAACTCTGCAAAGCTTTTATTTTTCACGATCTGTTTTATTAGCATATTATTTTTCTTTTTCTCTTTGTACTCGATAAGGATTGTACTTATTACAAAACAAACTCCTTAACTTTTCAATACATACATCGGTCATTACTGTATAATACAAATGTGGTATCGCTTGTAACATTTCGATCTTTTGGGGCAGATGAAAAAAAAAAAAAACCCAACATTTGTAATTATTTTTATTTGTTCATTCCTGACTCTCCAAAAAATGATATCCGGTAATACTTTTCTATAAAATAATATTTTTACAAATGCATTTATTAAAAATTCTGATGACATTTCAAGTTAATAACAACAGAAACAAGTCGATTTCCGGTGGACGAGTTCTATGTTGGTTTTTTGTTTTTCTTTTAAAAATACCTTTAGTGCTTCATTTTAACATCAACAGTTGTTTAAAATCACAGCTTTTTGAACGTATTATTCTTTTCTGAACATCACGTGTCTTGATTCACAGATTTACCGGCGAAATTAAAAAGATCTGACTAAAATATGTCTACAAGAAGAAATAATCCCAGCTATTAAGTAACTTTTTACATTTGGCATCTGATCTAGTCACAGGTCATCAGAAAATAGAAAGAGGTTCTTTGATCACTTGAAGCAGTAGGTGGCATCCTATACGTTCCTAATGAACAATTGCATTTACAACGTAAGGAGAGATCAGTTTAGGATTTTCATATTTATTAACCCAAAATAAAAATAAAGTATCTTGTTACATAATTAAGTGCAATTAGGCCAGTCAGAACAACATATAAACCTGAAACCACCCAAGCTTTTCTTCTTTATACATATTTTTGTAGGTGCATAATCCTTTCCAGCAAACTGAAAAGAAATACTTCAGAAGTCCTTCTTAAAATTTTACTTTGATTTATATTCTGCAGTTATAGAATAAACTTCAAGAAACACACGCAGCTAATATATAGTTAATTTTATTCAGAGCACCGATTTTCACATAAGAGCTATCTCAAAGTAATGATTTCTGGATTTAGCAGAAAAATACATCTCTCACTATTTTCTTTTTGGTAGAATTAGTCTTATCGTCTAACGGCCATACCTTGAATTTACCAGCCGTGTCTCGGAAATAATTTTTTTTCTTTTTTTTCTTTTTTTTTTCAATGCACCCAATAATAATAACTATTCTGTTTTCACGTTTGTTTTATTTGTAAGTATGCTGGGACGCATCTCCCTGTTGTATTTTGGCGTACAGAAATATTTCTGATAGAAATAAAAGTAATAGAGTAAAGACACAACCAAGGAGAAAGCTCAGCAAACATACATGGACAGGTAGATTATTCAGTGAGACATTTTAGGATCCACACGTGGTTGCAGTTTGTAACCTTTTTTTTTTTTTTTGTGCATTAAAAAAAATATTTTCAATCGTCTTTCTTCTTTTTTTTTTTTTCCTCTTTTTTTTTTTTCTTTCTTCTTTTAAGTCTAAATACAAGAACGTGACAAGAATGTTTGTGTTTTCGGTGAAAACAGGCAGTTAAACTGTGAAATTACACCATCCACAAAAGATTCTACCAGAAGCTAGTCTATTTAGTGCTCAGTTTCAAAATGCATAGAATGTTTGCGCTGCAAACAATGATACACAAAATAATAATAATAATAATAATAATTATAATAAAATAAATAGATAAATTAATAGATAAATAAATAGATAAATAAATAAATAAATAAATAAATAATATCGAGACTTTATCACGGATCTTTCTATGCCTTCTTTTCCCTTTTTTTTTTTTTTTTTTTTTTAGCAGGGAAATGCTTAAAAAAAACCCCAACTATGAATCAAATGTGATGATAATGCAACTTGACAGTAGCAGTTCTGGTGTCAGGGCTGGACGGTGCCTGCCTTCTGCCATTCCCTCAGTGAGGCTGCAGTGCAAAGGGGGAAATGGTGAGGGCATGACTGGGTGCCATCCCACAGCCCAGCCTCTGAAGCTCCTGGCACTGGGAAGACAGGTCTCCCTGGAAATCCTTGGTTTCCACTGGCTATGGCTTGGGGCCCAGG